AAATGTCATATATGACATTTGTGATAGTGTATATATAGACTGATACACACGTGCAGTCTCTGCTTGTTTAATTCTTATTGGCGTAGAACTTCCTTGTCTGGTGATGCATCATGTGTATGCGACTCCGTTAGCGACATTAGTTGAGTGAATAATATGCTAGAGAAATCCGATATCAGATCATGCATTCCGATTTAATGTCGTATTCAGCATGCATGCTTTTGTTTCGGACCGCAGTATGCACATGCATGTACACGATCACACACTTGGCACAATAGGGTCAGTATACACATTTATCATGTATGGGCGGTGCCTCTGCGTGTAGAATGTGCGGCTGTTTCCTATGTGTGATTATCTGCGTGAGTACCTGTGAGAGAGTGTACGGCGTATTTTCCGATAGATGGCATCACTACCCACACACAAGCTTTTTCTATAACACCGCGCGCGCGCGCACGCGTATGTGTGTCTGTGCGCGAGTGCGCGCGTATAATGTGGGTGGAGAGAGCGAGAGAGAGCATGAAAGAGAGAGAGCGCGCATGAAAGCGAGAGAGAGAGAGAGAGAGAGAGAGAGAAAGAGAGAGCGTATATGTTGACGTGCGGTGCGTGTACTGATAATTAGCATGACATATAACTCAGCTCGCAATTAGTCAGTGGAATATATGGATTCTGTACGATGTATTTACAATATAGTCATGATATATTTGATAATATAATTGCGTAATCAACATGAGACAATAATAGACGTAAAGATATTTATCTAAATTTCACACAGATTTGCAGTATCTCATTCCGCACGTTATATTTCATACATGTTAATTAGGGCTCAAGCTGTAAAATAGCGATACATGCTAATAACGATATAAATTAAATTAATATACAACATAATTACCATACAAAAATGTAATAAATATTAACTGAAGATATAATGTGTTGAGTATCGCCGAAACACTGCACGCAACCGATGCCAGGCTTTGTAGCTGCGACTGCTCGCTCTCGTCTGCCTCTGCCATCGTCGCCGCTACCCTAGTGCCATTCTCCCTGGAGCGCGTCTGTGTTTGAATTGCCTCTTCACGCTCATAATTAGTTCATTTTGTGTTCGGTTGACACAAACAATTACGAACAAAGCGCGGGGATGTTAACCGCGTTTTACCTGACTCTAATTGCTTTTACCTGCAACGCGAGAAGAATGAGCAAAATCCACGCCAGATTCATTACCGACAAATTGAATCTATCGGTAGGAAATATTAACCGCGGCTCCCGCGCTCGTTCCTACATTTTCGCGGCTTCTCGGCGCAGTCTGTTTGTTCTGATACTGGATACACGAGACGGTGTGAGCTTCGAGGAACAGCAGTGTTTCACACACATCGTCGCCGCTGGTATTTCTGACAAATGGCCGTATGTGTATGTGCGTGTGAGAGTGCACGCATACATACACGCATACGCCCACACGTATACGCACCCATAAAGGAAGTAATGGAGTAATAAAGGGAACCCAGAAAGGAATATTAACAACTTCCCGACGAGACTCGAAATAATAATAATTATTATTATTAATTATTTAATTATTATACGCACCCATACGCGCATACACACATACACGCGCGCGCACACGTGTACTTCCACAGGCACGCTCACATACGCACAGATACACATGCGTCCGTTCACACTTTTTTACGCACGCACGCGCGCGAGTATGAGCATGGTCACACACGCAGAGACGCACTTTAGTGTTAGTTATATTGTATATAGGCGCCGTTAGTGATACAAACATGCATAGGTACTACAGACACGCACTATATTGCACATACATACGTCCGTGCGTACGCAAGTAAATTGCGTATATGCATATACATGTATACATGCACTAACGCACGCTCGCATGCTCGTGTGTGTGTGTGTGTGTGCGCGCGTGCGTGCGTGCGTGCGTGCGTGCGTGCGTGCGTACGTACGTGCGTGCGTGTGTGTATATGTGTGCGTGTGTCGCGTAAAACGACGTAGATTACATTCAACGACCAACTCGCCCGCTCGACCTCTAATCCAATTTGCCTCCCCGCAAACTGTTCACGCTTCGCTAGGCACAATTCTGTGTGCAAATGCTCTCTAAGCTCGCCAAAGCATCTGTAAACAACTCATCGGCGCGCCGATTACATGGACCAGCCTTTGATTGCGGCAGCAGAAGAGAGGCATAAACCAGATTAAATCCGACTAATCTCTTCTCGCGCTCACGGCTGCCTGGCCACGACGCTTTTGAGTCACGACAACACAAGAGTGACAATGACAGTGACAGTGAGCAGGGACAATGGCGACTCCTCACTCGCCGCACTCATCTAGTACGGCGACATCTGCGTAGTTTCCTGACACGTAATATGATCTCTATACGCACTTGCCGAGGTGTTACACACTGAACGCGAGCATCGGAGCTTCACAACTCTGCTGATGATGCGAAGATGGCACGTCTCCGCTACATAACTCTGCTTCTTCTTCTTCTTCTTCTTCTTCTTCTTCTTCTTCTTCTTCTTCTTCTTCTTCTTCTTCTCTGGTCACTACACTACGCTCAACCAAGCCACTGCAGCACACAGGACCTGGCACGGTGGTTAAAAGCCTCCAGGTCTCCAGGGCTACAGGGCTCTGGTAATAAAGGGCTGATAATGTGACTGATTTAAATGCGACTTTTTGGTGTGCTGCTCTTTATGAATTGGATGAAAAAGAGGCACACGTGATCGATTGTCTTTGTTTCGATTATTCGGTAATTATGACACTACGTCATTGATTTGCGCAGATTTACTATTTTATCGATTAGCGGTTTGTTTTGGGTTACAAAAAACACGGGCACGTATTTTCGTCTGAATTCTGGTAGAAGAATTGGTGTTGATAGATATCCTTTACAATTGCCCTAACTGAATGTACGGCGCGTTTTTATTTTGTCTCCCCACTCAGCTCCCCAACTCTTGTTGTCAATCAATCATTCTAATGCCATTCTTTACTTATTTCCTTTTCTCACACTCCAGATTTCCTCTCCTCTCAGCTAATTCCCCTGTGCGGTTCCATCCTCTTACCATTCCTCGCAGAGTCCCACGCTCTGCTATATCTCTTCACTCAATTGCGTTCCATCCATTTCTGCCGCGAAATGTTTTCGTGGTGTACGCAGATTATTGCAGTTAACGAGCGTAACGTGGTCGAATAGCAATCTAACGTATTACAGTGTGTATCTGGTATTCTGTTATAAGTACACGCTGTCAGAGACCAGCATAAAATCGTATGTCATGTAAATAACACATATATAAACAACAAATACATATAATAACAGGAAACACATATATACCACGATATATATATAACACAGTAGTGAAAAAAATATTTGTTTTAATTTTCTCCTGATAACATTTATGAAATATAGTACAAATAACTCATGTAATATATAGTGTATAGCACATAACACATCACATTAAGAATATATAACAACATTATAATATTCGCACTTAAAAACAACAGAATGAATCAAATAATATATACAATTCTTTTTTAGTACGATTCTGTTATCTGCAAGAATGCGCATGGAATTATAAAGCATTAATCAGATTCTATGCACTCATACGACTAAACAAATAGCAGGCACAGGATTCGAACATTAAATTATACTCGATTTTCTAGCTTTGCTTTGTGTCTAACGTCGCTTGCTGCTACATGTGCCACACCGCACCATATTTGGACCAATAGCTGCTTAATTGGTATATATTTTAATCCACAATCGTTAGGATATTATGGAAAAAGTATTATTAGTAAATTATCATTAAAATTGGTCCCCCCAAGACGCGATATCCATTAGATTGAGATACGGTAGCTCGAGGCTTCATGGTGTATTGTTACAATCTTGATTTTGCATATCCGTTAATTGTTGTCTCTACTATGCGAATGAATGAAGTCATGGATTCAAATGATAAGAGCATATATTA